CACCCCTCCTTACTAGACCAGTGGTTCCACACAGGGGCAGCTTTGCCTTCTAGGGAATATTGACAGTATCTGGGACATTTTTGGTTGCTCAAGTCAGGGAAAGGAAGTTACTTACATACTAGGTAGAGGTCAGGACACTGCTAAACATCCTACAGTGTACAGGACAGTCCCCCACACTCAAATTATCCAAAAGTCAATGACGTGGAGGTTGAAACTCCTATGCCTGACTGTAAATGAAAGGAAATATGGTCACCAATTAAATGAGTCAGGAATATGCCCTTCAACGTTCCACCTGCCCCAGCACACACTTTGAGGCTAAGTCCAATGTCAGTTCCTCTCTGCCCCAGGCGCCAAGATCTGAGACTCAAGAGCACCCCTGTCCCAAGGACACTTGCCCACAGAACTCTAGTTCACCTCTAGAAAGGAAGCTTGCCCTCCCTGCATGCAACACCTTGGAGTCCCCAATGTGACATCCTCCATGTCACTGTCAGCCATGTCTAACCCACACCCCTGCCTGCATGTGGCCCTCTATGATTGAAAACTTACAGCATTTTTATGTGATAGTGATATTTTCATGCCTGGATTGTAGTATGCTCACGTGGGACTGTGTAGGTGACAACAGAAGGTAGGCGAGGACATGATACAGTGTTAACTCCACCACCTGCGCCTGCCACACACAATCAAATAGAAATCACATACATCAGATGTGACATACACTTTTGTGGCTTAATGGATGAAAAACAGTGGTTACTGATTATGGCATTTCAACCTCCCTATGTGTGTGTGCCTGTGAAGACAGGCAAAGTTTAATGTTATTAAGCAGACGTATAAGTGCTCTTATGTAATTCTTTTTTTCTGGGACAAGGTCTGACTAAGTTAAGTTGGCCATGTGGGGCTCAAACTTGGTCTCCTCCTGCCTCAGCCTCCTGGAGTGCTAATCTTACAGGCATGTGCTACCACACCTGGTCCTTACATAACAAAATGAGGTGGTATAGGAAGTGAAAAAAATTTATCATTTTTTTGCTCATTATATTGTCATAATTGTGTATACAGCATCACTGATATTAGAAATGTTATACTAAAAAAATAAAGGAATTTTGAGATAATTCTTCTTCACTCAGTGCAGCCCAATTGACCAAAAGCTAGAGGCACTCATGCGGTCCACCAAGAGCTGATGGCAGTAATACAAACAGCTGGCTTCTCATTTACTTGATGAACACATGTGCATCAATTACTTTAGCTGTTTTAGAAACTATGTACAGCCCCGCACAAAACAACATTCCTGCCTTTATGAAGCAGCATAGGCTGCTGGTGGAGTGGAAGTGTCAGAGACCAAAGGCCCCAAGAAAAGCATGACTTGAATGGTGGTAACGTTGAGCGTGTCATGAAGCAGGGCAGGGGCCGGGAGTGTAAGAGGGGCGGTGTCTGTAGAAGCCTTTCTGGTGAGGCTACCTTGGGGTAAGGATCTGGAGGTCGGTGGGTGTGAGAGGGAATGGAGCTCCAGACCCCAAGATGGGACAAGGCAGCTGAGCGGCCCCATGTAGGTTCCTGGGATCTCTTTGCAGCAGAGTGGTCCCACGCATGCGCCTGGGATCTCCTGGCTACAAGGCGGATGTGTGGCGTCCAGGTGGAGCAGGTCGAGGAGGCTACAGTTCCTTCTCGGCCTCCTCAGCCTCATCGTATGTTCATAGTTTATTCCGAGGGAGATGGAAAGCCATTAGACAATTCAGAAACACTATAGCATAATCTGATTTATCTTCAAAAAAACTTCTCAAAGAAACTTGAAAGCTGCAGTTGTCCTGGCTGCTGTAACCATCCTCGTCAGTGGAGCGGGAGTCTCAGATGCTCACGCTTTCTTTTGGCATTTAAAGAACAACATGACCACAACCCCAAACACTGGTCTTCGTTTGTCATAAAGATCTTCAGAGATTGTTATGGCTGGTTTTGCAACTCCCTAGAGCCAGATGGAGCAGAATGCAAATTCCTTTAACTCGGAAAAAGAAATTCCTAGCTGATGCGCCACTAGTAAAAGGCTGGGGTGGAATAAAATCACAACATTCTGCATTCCAGGAAGACTGGGATTGATGATTAATACCGGAAGTTCAAAACAGGAAGAGGGTCTGGCCAATGTCTGTAATTTATTCATAAATTGTCAGTTCTTCACAGACAACTTTTCAAGTTAACTGTGACACTTGTTTAAATATTTACTGGCTCAGTGACCTATTTTTGTTCTTGTTGCTATTAATTAGAATTTTTTTTAAAAAGAAAACAAGCATTGTAACAGCAAATTAACGGAGACAGCCTCAAAGGTGGGGTAGCTCAGCCAAGGTACAGTTCGGCATTACTGCGATTTACTAAAATTTTATTTGTGAGGAAAAATTCATCGAGTGTATCAGAAATAGTCTTTAAATGTAAAAAGGTTAAGGTCCACTCTTATTCCCAACCTGTGGTTATTAAATTAGCGCAATCAGTGTAAAAATATTTCTTTAAAATATAGAGCTTCCAGCAACTGCTTTTCCATTATTTTCCTTTAAATGAGTGTTTAGCCTCAAACCCCCTTCCCTCCAAGAGGTTGCAGTGCTGAACAATTCTATATCTGTTCTTACAAAAAAAATTTTTCAGATGTTACATTTTGAGTCCTTTGCTTTTTAAAAATTTTAATGGCTTTGTGCTTTGGTGACAGCCTCCCAATCAAGTCAACACTTCCTACTCACTCTCCTCTGAGGCATCTTTGAGGCCAGGCTTAGATGACCTTCAAGATCACGGTCACTGAGGGGTTTCATGTTCCTGGACCACAGGTCTGTGGCCTCCAACTGTCCTTCCTAAAAGGGAGTTCAGTCAGAATGTGGCGGTAAAAATACCTGATACACAGCAGGGATTGTAGCCAGTGACTACCATGATAGCTTGTGTGGCATGAGTGCCCCAAATTTCAGGGCAGTGGGGTGGAGAGTGGGCACTGCAGGAAAACATCATTTTAAATACAATAATTTTGATTAATAATGAAGAAGTTGTTATGGAAAGGGAATTGTTTTGATGGTTACAGACTTTCTGTAAAGGGGCTAGATGTAGACAGTATCACAGCTGAAGTATGACATTAACAGTGGCATGTCAGATTGGTTGGTTAGTTGCAAGTAGATTGTACCCTATGGCCAGAAGAATAATTCTGTGATCCAGTTTTCTGTAATGAGGAAGCTGAGACTCAGAGATTTAACCAGCCCTTCTGCATTGCCTTGTTGTTTGCCTGAGGCAGAAGACTACCTAGAGAAGAGAAGAAGCCTTTCCCTGGAATCTGGAGATTTCTCTCATCCCCTCTGATGTTCAGCAGGAAAAATGACCTAGGGCACCCCCAGGGTTAAATGGTTCTTCCTTCTACACTACCATAAGTTCCCATGGCAGGTCAGCAGTCTAACCACAAACTGTAGTAATTTAAAGATAGCTGAAAATCCTTTGCCATGTCACCCATCAAAGGTAAAGTCTATTGTCCTTGCTTTTCAATAATGAAGGTTAGTCCTGTGACCAGCAGTGACAGTAGAGGGTAACAGATGTAAAACTATGTGTCTGCCAGTACTGAGTCTTAAGAGACCTGAAGCTTTCAGTTCAGTGGAAGCCAAGGTGCAACTTTCCTCAGTCATGTCAGATTCATCCGACATAGGCTGCCTCCACCATGCTGCGTAAGTTCACACCCAACAAGATCAAAGTCTTATACTTGGGCTGGGGATATAGCTCAGAGGCACAGTGCCTGCCTGGCAAACATGAGGTCCTGAGTTGGATTCCCAGTACAAAAAAAAAAAAAACAAAAAACAAAGTCTTATACTTGAGGGGTACCCATTGGTGCTGTGTTTGTCCTGGCCCCCAAGATCAGCCACTCCAAAAAAAGTGGGTGACGGCACTGCCAAGTCAACTGGTGACTGGAAGGGTCTGAGGATTACAGTGAAACTGGCCATTCAGAACAGGTAGGCTCAGACTGATGCAGTGCCTTCGGCTTCTGTCCTAATTATCAAAGCCCACAAGGAGCCACCAAGCGACAGAAAGAAGCAAACAAAAAAAAAGATTAAGCACTGTGAAAATATCACTTTCAACAAGATCACAAACATTGCCTTACAGATGTGGCACTGATCTTTAGATGGAGAACATTTTGAAACCATTAAAGTGATCCTAGGCACTTCTTAGTCTTTGTGCTGCAGTGTCAATGGCCACTCCCCTCCTACATCACAGATGACATCACAGTGGTGTAGGGGAAAGAGTTCAGTGAGCTAAGGAGCATAAGGGAAAATATTTCAGTAAAAGATGAACTGACACACAAAAAAGAGAGATCTGCACCTATGGGAATGTGTGCTAGGAACATTCACTCTTAGAATCAGCTACTGTGGTAGTAGAAGGCATAAAGAGAAAAACCAGATTGGTTCCCACATTCATCAGCAGTCCCAGTCCCAGCCAACATGAACCACCAGCCATGTCAGCAAGCCATCTTGGATGTTCCAGTTCTTTGGCAACACAAGGAGCAGAAAAGCTGCCCAGCTGAGCCCAGGTCACTCCAGGATCATGAAAGATAATAAGCAATGATGGTAGTGGTTATTTCAAATCACTGGGCTTTAGAATAATTTGTTCTACAGCATAAATAACCAAATTAGTCTGTTTACATAAGAAAATAACCTCTTGGATTGGAAGATCTGAAAGGTGTGTTACATGTGGTACACCTGGCTCTGATGTGATGGGGCCAAACAAGAGCATACCACTGCTGGGATCCCTCATTTTCACTGTTGGGAAGAAGGACATCTTATAGGAGGGCTGACCATCTACAAAGGATATCTGTATTCCCCACTGGGAGGACAGCACATCTTTTTCCCCAGCATTCCTAAGACACATTCATGTGTGGACACCTAAATTACCTAGGTTTACTTGTGCTTAATCACTGAAGCTTGGGAACTCCGGTACCTCATGGTACTGATCAGTTTTTCATTGCTAAGACAAAATACCTGACAACTACAACTTAAGGGAGAAGAGGTTTATTAAGGTTCACAGTTTCAGGGGTTTAGTCCATGGCTGGTAGGCTTCAAGGCAGAGACACTATAGCAGAAGGGGCATGGAAGAGGAAAGCTGCTCCTCTCATGGAATATGAGAATCAGAATGGGTTGGAAAGAGCCAGAAAGGAAGGGGTCAGAGACCAGATATAGTACCCAAGGTCATGCCTCTAATGACCCACTTCCTTCAACCACCACTTCACCTCTGAAGAGCCCATTCAGCTATAAACTCTTGGGTGGGTAAATCCACTGATGAGGTCAGTGTTCTCAATCCAGTCACCTCTGCAGGAATCTCTTAATCCATCTAAACTGACAATGAAGATTAACTGGCACACTGGTCCAGGATCCAAGAGGCAGGAGCCTTAAGGTTAAAGTAAGCTAGAAAAACACGACCACACACTGTGTCTTTTCCACACAACTAATTTAAAAAAAATTTTTGTTGTTGTAAGAGGAGTCACAAATTCCTTGCTCTTCTTGAAAAATCAATGAGCTCATTCCTCATTATTGTGTTCTTGTGAAGGTTAAATGTGAAACTCTATGCAAAATTTCTAGCATCCTACTTCTATGAGTTATATACAAAGTAAATGAATAGCATTTCCAAATGTGGCAATTTCTGTTTCTACTTGAAAAGGGATGGTGGTTCTAACCGCTGGAAAGTTCACTAATTCCAATGTGTTATTTTAGGTGGACATATTTAACAGTCATATTCAAGCCTCTCGGTCCAGCACCATTGTGGAACATTTGCTAAATCAAAGTGATCTTTGTAAAGATATGAGAACAGATAGTCTTCATGTTGCTTTCTTCCTGACATTTCTTGAGAAGATAAGTAAAGGCTCTTCCAACTTTGCTGGTAAAATATTTTAAGCCTGACCTTTGGCAAAAGGCAATGTGCCTTCTCGCTGTTGGGAAATACAAGTCTTCCCACCAAAGTGTAAATGGACGGGAGGCCCCAGATCCATTTACACCTAATGGAGAAGTTGCTTGTCCCACTTTGGGGCTTATGGCCTTGTGCTGCATGTATGTTTTCCCAAAGATGTGTTCCAGCCAGCTCTCTAAAACTGACCTTGCTTTGGATCCATTTCCATGACAGATTTTCTAGACCACCTTTCCAAAAAGACTGAATACCTTTGCATTCACCTAATGTATTGAGTCAGAGATCCAACTGGTTTCCAAACTCCAGTTGAAAGGAAAACTTCTTTTAGGGTGGTTTGGAGAGACAGGGGTAAAGGCTTCAGTTCTTTTTTCTTACAAGAACCACAAACCAGACTTTTTTTTTTTCAAAGAGTTAGAAGAGATGAGGCTGAGACGCTGAGGAGGGACAGACTTTCTATTTCAGTGGGTTCCTTAAGGCAACAGAGGAAGCTTAGGCCACAAGAGTCTAGTTAATGAGAGGGTTATATAATATTCATTGTGTTGAATTTAACTCTTCAAACAGAACATCTAATTGCAAAAAGAAAAAAAAAGAAGCCAAATTACAGATGTTAAGACAACAAAGCTCGGGAAGAACTCCCTTTGTTGATAAACCTGTCCTTTCGCTACTTCCTCCCCTAACTGAATGCTGACAGGAGGCCCGGGGAGTCTCTGTCCTCATCAGGAATTTTCATTAGCTTGTTTTGACTGAGACACTCCATGGGACCTAAGGAGGCTACTGAGGGGCATGGCATGAGGGTCTTCTCAGAGGACTCTTTTTTTTGCTACCCACAGAAGGGGTGATCCAGTTGTATTCCGCTTGAACCAGGACAAAACTGTTTTCCCCAATTCTCTGGACATGCACAGTCTCCCCACTGTCACTCCTGACAATAGCGCCTGCAGCAGGCTCACTGAAGGACACTTTTCTCTGTTTGTGGCAATAATGAGTGTACAGGTAGCAAAGGCCAGCAGCCAGGGCTATGCCCAGAGTTGCTGACAGGCTTAGCAGAAGCCCCAGTCTAGGAGTTGTGAACTGGATCCCCAAAGGGGCACTGTCTTCCTCTAGCCCAACTTCAAGCCTTGGGTTGGGCTTGCTAGGGTGTCCCATGCCAGCTCCTCCAGTCCCCTTGCCCACTCTGGCCTCCTGGAGTTTCGGCTTGGGTAGGAAGCTGGCAGAAGGCCTTGGCTCCTCTTCATGGCCATCAGTGGCAGATAGCCTGGAAATGCTAGAGATGTGGAACTCAGGAGTTGGGTTGGCTGCCCCAGTCCCATGACCTCTGAATGCCTCGGAGGACCAGTGATGCTGGGGATTGGTAAGATGCACAGTGTGCAAAGAAGGCATCATCAGGGTCCTATTAGAGGCCACCACCTTGTCCTAGAAACGAGAAGAGAAAAAGAGTCAAATTGGGCTGATCTTCCCTCCAATGTGCCACTAAACTTTGCAACTGACTTGTGTTCTTTAGAGATAACATAGGCAACAGCTCTTGCCTCTTGCATCCTCCTAAAAGAGCTCAGAGTAAAAGGCCCAAGTAGATAAACACACACTTGTAATCAATGGAGACAGAGTGGCTAATGGAAACTCCACACAGTGTGGAAATGAGTTATAACAATAAAGTTATAGTCCTTAAGGGGCTTCCAGGCCCATGTAGAGGATTGTGTCCTTTCTGATGGCTAAAGGTTTGAGTGTCTTTTATGGTAGGACTTATGCAGGAGGGATCATTTACTCTTACTGTAGGTTCCAAAAAATTTAAGACAGAATATTATGCCATGTTTTATTTGGTGTTTCTTCTAAGACTTCAAAGAAAGATTAAATCACTGCACATGTATATTTTATATTGTCCATTGATCTAACCTCTGGGACCATATATATTTTGAGGCCAGTGATATGAAGGAGGAGTGCAGGGGGAAAGAAAGGAGGAATTATTAACCAAGGCTAAGTGGAGAAACACATTGCTAAAACCATCAATTTCCTCAATTGCCAGTAACTTTGGAGACACTGCATCGAATGGGAAGGCTGGTATTGATTAGTGCAGAGATACTTTGTGTATATCATGCCCTGGCTTTCAATCTGACTTTTGACTATTAGTCTAATAGCTCTTTTCTCAGCCTGGAGCTTCCCACTCCAGAGCCAAAATGCCAACCTTAACCCCAATTCACAAACCAAACTTTTACCTGTTCATCTGTACCCAAAGACAGGCAAGTTTCCAATGAATTAAAGTTTTTGTCACCTTGAGTCCTAGGGAGAGAGCAGATCTAAGAAAGAATCACTAAATATATGAATTAGAAGCAGTATTTCCTACCAGTTTGTTTATGGTGATGGAATCAGATTTCCAGAGGGTAGAGATGGGGCAGAAGTGAGAGGATTGTAGCAAAGAACTCACTAACTACTATCATTTATTAGTTTGTATAAAATATATTTCTACATTGTATTATAAATATATTTTTAAAATTGTTAGTATACTTTATTTTTAGCAGCATCTCAGCAGCTTCACTCCATCCAACACAATACAGTTCTCCTGGGTAATTATCATACCCAACTCTTCTGACCAGTAGCCCTGCTACAGTGAGGGTGTTTCAGGAACTTACAAATAAAAATGGCTGCATAATTCAAAATAGCTAAATCTTCCAAGTGTGCTATATGTCCATCAACAGATGAATGGTTAAAAAAATGTGGTATTTACACTTAGTGGAGTACTACTCTGCTATAAAAAAAGATAAATGTGAATCATTTGTAGGAGAATGGATGCAACTTGATACCATAATGTTAAGTGAAATAAATCAGACACACAAACTTAAATATTGCATGGTCACTCTTATATGAGAAACCCAAATTATAAACAAAGAACAAAATGAAGGATAATAGGAAGTAGGGAGATAGACTTTTCTTAAATGGGGAAGGGGATCAAAAGGTAGAAGACAAGAAGAAGGAAGGGAGAAAAAGGAATGAAAAAAGAATTAAAATGTGTTATGACCATGTACCAACTCTGTAACAGGAAAGTGAATATTATGTGCTGCAAACATATATGTCTAAAAAAAATAAAGTGAAAGGAAAAGGAATAAAAATGGTTAAGGTCTTTCTTTGTCAGACTTCAAATTAAGTCTTCCTACCACCTGGATCAAATGGCCCCACCATCACCAATTATCTCTGCCGGTCCTTGATTTAGAAGCAAGAGCCCCTGGGAAGACTCACCTGAGTGCCACAAGCCTTTCCAGCCTATGGATATCCAGTGATGGTTCTAGGGTTGGGTTTCTGTCCCCACTGGGCCCCTGGCTGATGCTGGTTGCAGTAGCTGTGTGCAAAGGATTTGGGGTCAGAGTCTGGGCATCCGCAAGCAACTTCATCACCACAGGACTGGTAGGAGCAAGATGTAGGCTGTTCTCCTCCACAGCTCCTGTAAGAGCAATGGCAAAGAATCTGTGCATTCTGTGGAAGAGAGAGGGGCATTGGGAGCTACACAGAGACCCAAAGAAGCCACAAAGAGACAGCAAGAACCTTTTCTCTGCATTGATTGGTACACACAACTATGATAACAGTGGGGACTCTAGTGAGCCTTAAGGATAATCACTAAATGTGAACCACTCAAAGATGCTTTGCCCAGTAACATAAGGCCCTGACAAAGCAACAAAATACTCATTTCTTACATGTATTAAAAGAAGTCCCTGGCCCTTCTGGGCTTGTGTGTTCTGAACAGCCAAACCACACAGGGAATACAGAAACCAGTAGACAACTGTATATTTCTACTCTCTTCAAAAAACTACTTCTACCTAAAAGTTAAATCCCACAAATTTTTAGAAGACCTTGGTCTTCTGCCACATGAACACTGTAAGTTTCTCTGGTGCTGATAATGACCTGAGTTTCTCCGATAGGCAAAAACAAAATCACTGCCCTTGATTTCCCCTTTGTGACTGGCTAGGAGGAGGGCCCAGGGCATCAGAAATAGCTGCCCACAGGGCAGCAAGCAAGTGCCAAGTTTAGAATTAGATTATTGTCTGAGTTCAGTGTGCCTCTCTGCTCTTCCTGGCTTTGGGGAAGTCTTCCGGGAGCATTAGTTTCTTCACTTGCACAGTGGATCCAATAATGGTACCCAGGGTATAGAACCATTGAGGGGCAACGTGAAGTCACTGACATAGAAACATGACAGTGCGCGGCACACGCAGCCTGCGCTGAGCGTCAACCACAATAACAATCAGAATACAGAAATAGGAACCACGTTGGCAGAAGTCTCTCTGGACAATGTTCAGTGCCCCTGTATTCCAATGCTTTCATCATTCAGAACACTAAGGTGAAGAAATAAAGCAGCCAAACCTGCATACACAGCAACAGTGTGGAATTTGTGCCTAAACTCTGAGCGCCCGTGATTATTTCAACCGAACCTCTAGTGCATGACATTGTAGTGGTGGCTGTGGGTGTAGCAGTCATATAGGTTTGCCATTGTGCCTGAACTCAAACCTGGGAGGAGAGATCCTTACATGCTCAATCACTGAAATTTTGAGATGGTACCTTAATACCAGAGCTAAGAAGCTGAATACATTGGTGGTGTGTTCTGAATGTGTCCCCCAAATTCACATGACAAACCTAATCCCCAGTGCAATAGTCTAAGAGGTAGGGCCTTTAGGACATGATTAGGCAGACCCCTCTGAGACTAATGCCATTATAGAGAGGCCTGAGGGGTTTGTTCACCCCTTCTGCCAGAGGACACATATAAGGCATATATGTAAGGGAGAGAGCTTTCCAAGACTCCAAGTCTTCTGGCACCTTGATCTTGGACTTCCCAGCCTCCAGAACCAGTGAGCTACAGCTCCCTGTTATTTATGAGTTGCCTAGTCTAAAGTATTCCGTTTCCTGAGTGAGCCAAAACACTTGTTTACCAAGGACGTATGAGAAAAAGATTCATCCAGGGGTATTTGGACTGAACATCGAAAGCTTTGTGGATCATCCCAAGGAACAGTTAATGTGAGGAGATGTCAGAAGAAAAGCATGGAGATATAAAAGTAAATCATACCTTAGAGTGGGAGAGCAGGACCCCAAAATGTCCCAAGGGTCCACTGGCAGATATGTTTGCGAAGTACTATATATTATTTTGGGGAATCACCAGAGTTTATATAAATTATTGGGCAGGGCATGTCCAAAGGGGAGGCACAGGAGCAGAGACACAGAGGCACATTGGCTGCTGAGACTGCCATATGTGACCCCAGGGTGGACTCAAAGCACCCAGTGGGTCAGGCACCCAAGAGGCTGAAGGACCAATGTGACACTTCCTGCAGAAGCCTCACTTTCAATACTATCCATATTTCCACAAACACGGTTCTGTTTGCGATTGCAGTGCAACAGTTGCCTATAACAACTGTTGCATAAAGTTGTTATAAAATAAAATAGGAGACTTCAAGCAAGGGTCTCCTGCAAGCCAACTCTCAGAGTGTCTTGGTGGAAAAGCTGGAGGCACTGAGTTGGAACAACAGAAGAAGACAAAGGTTTTTGAGCAAAGGTGGGAGAGAGAGGGCAGCCAGGGGTTGTCTCTGTCCCTGGGTCTCCTAGACTGACAGGAGGCAGGGGTTCCTGCTGGAATCCGGTCTTAACATATCAGCAAAGAATTATGGAAATTACAGAAAGAAAATGGGGTTAAGTGGGTGAGGATCAGACTTGTGCAAGCAGTTGGATGTCTGAATGAGTCCATCTGTCCTCAGCCTTTAACTGGAAATGGATAATGAGAATGGGTCCCAATGGCAGGAATTTTCAAGCAGGGCAAACTTTCCCTTGCAGTCTCGGCTTTTGTTTGTTTGTTTTGTTCTGTGTCTTCTTTCAGAAGCTCATAGGCCAGTGGAGTGTAAAATCACGGGGTAACCCAGGAAAAAGTTGATTCCCATTGAAACGAGAAACTCTTCTGATATTGTTCTCCACCCCAAGCTGCAGAGAACTATCTGTGTATTGTGGAAAGGAACAATAAAAATTGCTTTTTTGAAAAAAGGAGAAGAAAAGAGCTCATTTCTTTTTCAGTGTGCCCTGCGTCACTTCAGGGGTCGAAGGAAAACAGCTGAAGTATTGTGCAGACCTGCAAACTCGGGGAAGATGTGTGCTGTTTGGTTCTGCAGCGCAGCTCTCACCGTCCACCCCAGGGCCCTACTTAATTTGTTAGGTTGAGCCAGACAAAGCACATTTGCTGTGTCAAACTCGAACTCACCGCAAGGAGCCCCTCTCTCTCACTGCCAGCTTATCACCGCCCCAGGTATGGTGGTTACAGGACAAGGCGGGTGTCTGTTGCTTGTGTTGCAAGGACAGGAAACTGGCAGTACCAAAGTTGTATGTGAAAACAGATCACTGTAAAGTAATAACGACAAGCAGGCTAATGAACATGGTGGCGAGCTGTACCTGGGGTGGTTTCCTCATGATAGCCCCGCCTCTGCCCAAGGGCTGGCACCAGTGACCCAGGCTCTAAGCTGCTGAGGTCATCCAAGTAGGCGCTGGTGTGTGTCTCTTGTGATACAATGGGCGATTCAATCCTTGCCCAGTAAACGAAATACGACTGGACTACTGATAATCTGTGGAAAAAGAGAGAACAGAGTAATTCAGGGATTTAGTTTCCACTAAGTAATACCCAAGGCCATCCTAATAGCAAAGAGAGAACAAAAGTCCAAATGAATAGAAGAACTAGAGATTATTTTATTTCCCTTTGTGGGACTTCATTCTTCCAAAAACAACCCCCAAAACCCAGAACTCAAGAGGCGAAAGTAATTAAGAGAGGTTTCTATACAAATAAATTCCTCTTCCTGGATAAATATGAGCATCAAAATTCTCACTTGAGGGTAGGGGTATGGCTAGCTCAGTGGTACAGTGCTTGCCCAACATGCTCAAGGGCCTGGGTTCAATCCTCAGTACCGCAAAGAAATTTTCTATTTTCACGGGAACTAAAAGCTGTCTGGAACTGTTTAGACTCAAAGAAAAGGTTTCTTCTTCAATTTTATTATTAGCTGGTATTGATATACTGTCAACTGCATCATTCGTTAAAGATTTCATAATTCCAATGCACAGCCGTGCGATTGTATGGTAATCACAGATGCTATTGGAGATTAAAGATGAATCACTAACATTCTAAACTATGTCTTAAGTACATAATGCCTTTCTTTCGTACAAATTTCTTTCACAGATGTTGTGCCACTGACCCCTCCCCCATTCTCCCTGAGATAGGGATTGTTGGCAATGTCATCCTCCCACTACTGGTATTCAGAAGGCTGTCATCACAGTGTGACTAATGTAGCTGAGGTCACCCAGAGAATCAAGAAACCAGTGATGGGCATGGTTTGGGCCTTGAATATGTGGCTTCCAGACTCAGTTCTTGGTACCATGGGCGAGGATTCCGGGAAAAGGAAGAGCAGGGTGGCTTAGAGGAGGCTTCCAACCAGGTGGCTCAGCTATTTTTTCTGTGACTTGGAGACAACGGCTTCTAAGCTACTTACTGGGCCATACATGGCAATCTTGCATCAGCCAGGGGTTCCCTTTTTTGTCCTGCTGCCCTCCTGGGGCTTCAGGAAGGGATGGAGGACACCCCAGTGTGGGTCGTGAACCTTGTCTCTCTCATGGCTCCTGGTGACCAAGATTTCTCAGTACCCAGGGAGGATCGGACAAGGCCAGGGGGAGGGTGGAGTCCTGATGCCATTTTAGTGCTGTAGCTTCAAGCACCCTCAGGGCCTCCTTCTGAGGTGATTATATAGGAAATGGGACAGAGAAACAGGAAGGAAAGGAAAAGCCTCGCTGAATCCTCAGACCGGGCTCTGTAGCTTAGAAACAGCATTCTGTCTTACAGGAACCTGATGTCCCCCACAGGCAGGGCAGGGGCCTTCCATACGAACGAGAGGTTTCTTTTCGGAGACTTGTCCGCGTGGGTGACGGTGTCGGCTTCTTCAAGACACGTCATCAGTCTGGAGTGAGGGGGAATGAAGACAAAAGTGCCAGCTGTCTGATGCTCAGACGCGCTCCGAGCCTGAAGCAGAAAGCCCATGAAATCTCGGCTGCTTCTCACCGTCACTGCAACAGAGGGGCAGGGGACACGCGGGACTCAGGCCATGTAGAGATTTCACGCAGGTATTTTCAACGGAAAGCTTCAGACCCCGCCTTCCCCAGAAAGTGAGCAATTCCTTGGGAGGCGGGGTCCTGCTTTACACCAAAATAAATTCCATTTGGGCTCAAAAGTGTGTAAACATGAAATATAAATAAATCAGAGAAATATATACTTTTTTCTTTTTTAAAAAATATTAGAGTTAGAAATGCCTCTATAAACAGATGTAGTGGCCATATGGGAAAAGGTGAATAAAATTTGCTGTATTATTAAGATTAGTTGATGCTAGATGAAGTCAAGACAAGTGATAAACTCAGAAAAGTCTTTACAACATCTGTAACAGCCAAACATACAGAGGTAAGGTGAGCCACTAAAAAGATGATTCTCCCCAAAAGGATGAAAGGACACCAATGGAAAATAAAACCAGCTCATCATAATTCAAAAAGCAATTATAAAGAGGACACTCTTTTATATCATACTGGCAAATATCAAAATGTGCGATTATAACCAGTATTAATAGAACTGTGGTAAAACTAGCATCCTTGTTCACTGGCACCGGACCAACTCTTTGAGGTCAACCTTCTTTATTTAAATGCAGTTGCCCCTGATGCACGCTAAAGCCCTGGGGAACCCTGAAAAAAGCAAGTGAAATGAGGCAGAATGACAGACCTGTATCACCCCACGATGTGAGACACTAAGAGTAAGCAAACTGATAGAGACAGAACAATTAGAAGTGACCAGAGGCTGGCTATCTGTCTATCTGTCTGTCTGTCTATCTATCTATCTATCTATCTTCTATCTATCTGTCTATTTATCAGTGCTAGGGATGGAACCCAGGGACATAAGCATGCTAAGCATGCAGCCTATCACTGAGCTCTGTATTTTATTTAAAAACCTTGTTGTAAATAGTTTAGGTATATAGCATGATGTCTTGCTATACATAATGAAATGGTTGCTATAATCAAGCAAATTATCATATCCGTCATCTCCTTACAGTGCTTACTGATGGATGAATGCTAGTTTCATAATAAGAAAATAGTATAGTTTTCTCATTTACATGATACATGGTGCCAATGTATTAGGGTAATCTCTGGGACACAATACACTCATATCTTCTGAAAAGAAGATAATATTTCATAATCATATCACTTGTGTTCTCTTAGATTACTATCAGTATAGAGATCAGTTATGCCGCCATTTTCTCTTTTTTTCTTTTTCTTTTTTTTTTTTTTTTTTTGTCTTTTTGAAACAGCCTCTCGCCATGCAGTTCAGGCTGGCCTTGAGCTCACAACGATCCTCCTGCCTCAGCCTCCCTAGTGCTGGGATTACAGGCATGCACCACCATGCCCAGCTTATGCTGTCATTTTCATGACACAAAAACTTCATGTTTATTTTTGGCCAAATTAGTGCTTCTTAGGTCTAAGCCATATTTTATTTCAGGAAGCTCCCAGCGTGGAATATCCCACCGGTTCTCTGGGGCTTCTGTGCTTCTCTCGAAGCCTCTCCCACACATACCTGGAATCTGGTCCCCTGGTGAGTAGGAAGACCTGCTGGCGTGGATGGAAATGTGGTGGGTGCTGGGGCGCTGGGGCTGGGCTCCCACATGTCTGGGCTGCATGTCCTCACAGGCCACCGCACTGGCACCATGGGAAAAGGCAGATGAGCAGGAAGCCAGGCAGAGGGTGACACAAGCCCAGCCTGCAAGAGCAGCGGGGACCTTCATCCTGCTCTCTCCTGTACCACGAAAAACAACAGCTTCAGGCAGATGCCACTCCAGAAAATGATACAGGGTAATATGGATGTGACTGACCCAAATCCCACACTCCCTTTGCACCTGATATTCACAGTGCTGCCTCTTGAAGGTCAAGATCAAGAAGACATACCAGGTTATAGGAAGCATTTCATTTCTAAAAACATCATTTATCATTTTTTAAAAAATTCTCATCTTTTTTTCATGAGGCAAGACTCTTTTTTTAAAAGAAGCTTTAATTATTAAATCTAACAAATAATACCTGAAAATGTTTGTTTCCTATAGTGAACTTACAAGTTTTCTGTTAGCGAAGGGCAAGGATGCGTTATAATATTTTATTGCTCAAGCAGACACCAATATTCCAAGGTGGTTAGGGGGCATGATACATGGGGACTTGGATTACTAGTGTCTTATCTGCACAATTGCAAATTTCAGAGTTAAATGCTACAGAAACTTATATATATTATCAGTTATTTAGAAGTAATTAAATTTTCCATCTTTGATATTCTTTTGTCCTTTCTCTTCTTTTTAGTTGTATCACTACTTCAGAAGATAAGCAGAGAAATTACACCCAAGCTGATTCATTCTGTACCTTATTAAATAGATTGGTGAAAGAAAATCAGCTCAGGAGTAGAATACAATGATTGGATAACATAGCATTGATAATATTTTGTCATGTAATTGTAATTTGGTAATACTTTATAAGTTTCATTTTTGTTTACAACTTCTAATGCCTATCAACAGAAAGAGTTAAAAGTTGACAATGTGAAAGAAATTGATATCTAAAACTAAAGTGAGAGAGAATGAATAAGACATATGAAAAGCTCTCTGAGTGAATATTTAGGAGGGCCTCAGACATATTTCTAATAGTTTTACATTTTAAGTTTTGTTTATATTCTTTTACCCAATGATTTTTTTAAAAATTAGCTAATATTTTGATCTAAGGGGCAGCACAAAGCAATGCTATCCCTTCCCTTTTAGCAAGGTGACTTGAAAGGGTAAAAATAAACTACAAAAGTATGGTGAAACTAGCTATTAAAAACAGGAGATTAAGGAAATAATCCATACAAGCCAATAAGCTCATCAATCTCTACCCCTGAGGCTGACCAGGCCCAAGGAGATGGGAACAGGCTATCGCTCAGATCTCTCAGACTTACCGAAAGAGTCCTTCAGACAACACCTTTCTCTTCTAGGTTTGTTTTCCATGAGACAGTACGAGTCAAAAACCTCTACTGCACAAGGAACCATTACTGTGGCTTCCCAGAACTGAGAGAGTGAACTACAAGCTGTAAAAATTTGCTCTCAGTGGAGTGGCCCAGGGACTGTCTGTGTTCCTTCACAAGGACCCTTAAGAAATGCCCCTTAAGCCCTTATCGATGACAGAAGGTGGTGTCCTTCCCAAAGGCAGAGCAAACTCAGGTGCCTATGGAGGAAAAGAGCAAGTGCCGCGTCTCACAGGCCATGGCCACAGCCAGACAGCTCCTCGTCCCCACCTTAGACCTGGCAGAGGCTTCTTCCCGCTGGCCCCTTGTCTGTCTGAACCCCCACAACCATCCACTCACCCAGGACACACTTTCCTTCAGGCTTGGTGGAAGCTTTTCTCCCTCAGAGTCGCAAAAACACACCCTTGGAACAAAAGTCTGTTTTTCTCCCTCAGTCTTTCCTCAAATGGGGAGGATGACAGCTGTTACCACTAATCCTCAGTATCTACATGAAACGGGCGTCAGTGTCTAAATCCAGCCTAAAGTGTATTAGTTTTCTTTAAAACTACATGCACATATTCACACAGTCTCCAGCCAAATCTTCATTAAGCCTGTGCAAAGAAATAGAAATACTGGAAATGGTTATGCACAGGAATGGCTTTGGCCTTCTCAGCAGAAGCTGGATATATTCATCTTGGCCTCCCGGTCAAGGGAAAGATGTTTGAATGAAACTCAGCTCAGCATTCTCTGCTTCTTGAGGCAATGTGGGTTCAAGAAATTATCCCTGCTGAGCTGGGATTGATCCCTAAGAGAAGTATTTGACACTAAAAAAAAAAAAATACCACACAGCTAGCCAGACCTAGTCACACCTCCCTGTAATCCTAGCATGATGGAAGTATGAGGCAGGAGAATCACAAGTTCAAGCCCAGCCTGGGCAATTTAGTGATTCAGTAAGGGCTGGGGAAGTAACTCAGTGTAGTCTGTGATACTCGGTGTATATTTTACAGTTACGGCACATCTCAAGTGCTCAAGATCCATATATGGTAGGCTGGTACTAAAATGGGCAGTGCAGGGCTATTCCAGGGACAGTGGAGGAGAAAACTCATAATGTGAGGTCAGGATTGGGAACCATGCGATCCCATGTACAAGATATGTAAGAAGAGGCTGTATGAGTAAAAGGACAAGATACCTGGGGTATAATTCAGTGGCATTTGTGCCTGCCTGGCAAGCTCAAGGTCTTGAGTTCAATTCCCAATCCCCAAAAATTAAAAAATTAAGATAAAAGGACAAGATAGTAATTAAACGTGACAGCACAGGTACACAGTGCTTGTATAGAGTGCTTGCAATGTTCTAGTCAACTGGCTAATAAATTATCTCATTAATACAACACTATAACTATGAGGTCCACACTGTAGTTGTATCATTCTGTGTGGATAAGGAAACTGAGTCCTATAGGTTGCCCAAGATCACACAGCTTTTACTATGAATCTGCTTGAGCTTATTGCACACTAGCAATTTGGCTGAAATTGATATATTAACATGTTAAATCCATTACACTAACATTCCACAGTCCTGACTAGAGCAATAATATTAATATCATACACAGGGAAAGTCTTGTGGTGAGTTATATTGTAATAACTCAGATTCTTTGTGTCCTTTTGCAAATTGCTTAATTTCTCTGGGTTGCCTCAAGCATAAAATAAAAGGTTTGAGTTAAATAATCTCTTAGGAGCCAGATGTGGTGGCTCACTCCTGTAATCCCAGCACAGAGGAGGCTCAGGCAGGAGGATCACCATGAGTTCGAGGCCAGCCTGCGCTACATAGTGAGAACTTGTCTAAAAAGAAAAGAAAAATCTCTTAGGTTTCTTCCAGCTAGAGAATTATAGGTACTTTTAATGTCTTATTTAGCCATAAAGTCATCAGAATGAACTACTACCACAGCATCTTGAGATAACATGGACTAAAGTCTGACCCATAATTATCACCAGCGTTGTTACCTTCCCACGCTACTCCTAGCTTAAGGACCAGACTTGAAAAAGTTTAAAAACATCTAATAATCCTCAGAAAGGTGCTATTTCAGTCCCCTTTCTGGCTGGCAGACTTCCCTGTGATAATTCATGATCACTCTTTTTTATCTGAACATCTTTTCCTTTTCATTCAGTCATGAATTTCTCTCCATATTGATCAGTGTTTTTATATATGCACCATTTTAGCATCATTATGATGCTCATTTTAAGGTTTAGATAGATAAAAATGAATAAACCATCTACAGATTACTGGAATGTGGGGACAATCTGTGTCAGAAAAGAGAAAAAATTTCACAATTCTGTTCCCACTCTAATTCACCTAAAAATGGCCCCAGTGACTTGTGCTTCATTCTCCATGCTATTATGCATTGTTTTCCATCAAAAATAGAATGGTTTGGTGTTTTTATTCTACCAATTATCCTCTCCCTTATTCTCCCTCTTAAGGAATAATGCAGACAAACAGGGCTTTAAAACTAATTAAGATTTGCCTGTCTCCTCCTTCCAAAGCAACATGGCAGACAGTCTGCTGATATAAGAATCAACAGGATCTCTCCAGAAGGTGACAATCTAACTGGGATGAAGTGGTAAGGTATACAGGAAAGAGCAGGAGCGGAAGTCAGGCAGCAAACTGGTTGTGTGACCTGGGACAAGTTCATTTTGAGGAGCCCCCATTTTTCCACCTGTAAAATGGAGAGATGATTGGATTTCTTACAGAGGATTTTGTAAGGGCTAGATGTACCAGCAGTGATGTGTAGCCGTAAACAAGAGTATTGTCAGAAGAGAAATGAAAGCCGGGTTAGCAGAGACGGAGAGGGGTACCAGAATATCTCAACTAGAAATAAGAGAAGACGCTTGATCTTAGAGGTCAGGAAGAGTGTGGAGAGATGGAGTGGGGTAACAGGACATTCAGAGCAGAGTGAGAGCTTGAACAAACGCATGAAACAAGGGGGAACAGAGTGTTTGTTGTAATTATCCAGACATCAAATAAAGCACACTTGACAGCTGGACTTTGGGCCTGAAAAGTTGATAACTGGAAGTGTAAGGAAGGACTAATAAGATTTGGAGGTTGTGTATATCGAAGCAAGGGGGTGGGTATAAAAACATGATTGGCATTTAAAGAGCCTGGGCAAATAATATAATCTCTACAGTATCTGAAAGAGAAAAGTTGGTGGTGTTCAAGTTTCAACATGCTGCATTATGCACTCTGAGCCTTCCTTCGGTCCTTCAGCTAGACTTTACCAAATGCCCCCAAGTGTGTCCCATGCTCAGGCCCAGGGATATGTAGATAAATAGCACATAGTCTCAGTCCCTCCATAGCTGGTGAAGGAGATGAATGCAGCAGCAGATTATTACAAAACAAAGAGATAAACGGTTAGGAGAGATGCGATCACATATTGTTACAGCAGTACAGAAAAAGGGTATCCTGGAGCTGAGGAAAAATTTCCTTTTCCCTTTTGAAATTCCAAAGCACTCATCTTGTGGTTGGATACCAAAATTTAGTTTCAATAATTAATATTAAAATAATGCTGGGAACTTCTACATTTATGAATGCTTTGTAGCATCTTTTTAAGATCTTACACATATGTATCCTTTATCCTCATGGAGATGCTTGGTCTCACACACTGCCCTGGATTGCAGCTTCAGCTTGATGTGTGCTGTGTTTTCTACCTACTTATCTCTAAACCACTGAAGGTTAAGAATTATCTTAATCGCTTAGCTCCAATGCAAAGCACAGGACTTGGATATGTAC